TGGGATTGTAGAATAAGCTTTCAGACCCTTGCTGTGTAACTTTTTTGTAGAAAGTTGAATATCTCAAAGCACGACAGTCGTTACAAGATCCTGGTGTACCAATGGAAACGTTGGTAAATATTTTCTTAGCCGTACAGATACCTGCACAAAAAATATTCATTGGGTGCTTTCCAATTGCTTAACACATCTTGATACACACGTACATAAAACCAGTTTATTGGTTACATATTATTTAAAATATCTTGTAAGATAATAATGCAACCAATAAACTGGTTTTGTGTAACACAATGTACGCAACTGGAAAGCACACTTTGAATATGGCTTTAATTTCATTATTTGCAGATAAAACTCTCAGGACATTAGAAAAAATTACAATACCTTGCAAGATTATAGAATGATTCATCTTCCTGTCCGCGTACGAATCATGATCATTAGCGGGAGCAAGTACAGTAACGTGACAACCGTCGATGGCACCAATCACCCCTGAAAAGTGTGGGCACTCCGTATAATTAATAGCAGTGAAAAGGCAAATAAACAGAGGATTGGTGTATAAAACACGCACAATACAAAGTAACATGCATACCTGGATACCCTGCTCTGTCATAGAATTGTTGTCTTATTGCTGCACATTCATTCTCTTCAGGCCATACTATAAATTTATGACTTAATGCACAAAGAATATCAACGATACGATGAACTTCATGATATATTGTAGAAGGGGCTACACCAAACCTGTCAGCTCCATTCTCCATTGCTGACTGACCAGCCAGATACCACAGAGCTATAAGTGTTGCTTTATCAACTGTAATAACAGGGGCATCACCACGTTGCATTTTAGGCATATATATTGGAGCAATAACATTGACAAGTTCTATAAAAGTATCCTTGCGCATCCTGTTAAAAATAAGGAGAAAATTACATCGCAGACATGGATATTACAAAAAGCATAGCGTAAAGAGTACCGCATAGAATTTTTTTTATTCTTACCGAAACAGTCGGTGAAAATCGAAGTCTAAATAATACTGGATCCATTCTTCACCGCACAATTGACCTAATCTGAAATGCCGCTGCCTATCCTCTTTTCGAAACAGCAAAGAAACATTACACACTGCTCCTAACTTACTACATGCAATGATGAGTAAGTCATCATCAAAGGTCTCCTCCTCAAATAGTTGTATTGCCAAGGCTAAGGCTACATTTGTCTTCTGATTCATATTCGTCCAAATAACGCTAGCATGTTTCGTGTTTTCGTAAACTAAATTAGGTTAGGTTTATAGTGACAGTAAAATGTCATTTTCATTAGTCGGTGAAAATCGAAGTCTAAATAATACTGGATCCATTCTTCACCGCACAATTGACCTAATCTGAAATGCCGCTGCCTATCCTCTTTTCGAAACAGCAAAGAAACATTACACACTGCTCCTAACTTACTACATGCAATGATGAGTAAGTCATCATCAAAGGTCTCCTCCTCAAATAGTTGTATTGCCAAGGCTAAGGCTACATTTGTCTTCTGATTCATATTCGTCCAAATAACGCTAGCATGTTTGGTGTTTTCGTAAACTAAATTAGGTTAGGTTTCCATAGTGGCAGTAAAATGTCATTTTCATTAGTGGTGACGTCTGATTCATATTCGTCCAAATAATGCTAGCATGTTTGGTGTTTTCGTAAACTAAATTAGGTTACGTTTATAGTGGCAGTAAAATGTCATTTTCATTAGTCGGTGAAAATCGAAGTCTAAATAATACTGGATCCATTCTTCACCGCACAATTGACCTAATCTGAAATGCCGCTGCCTATCCTCTTTTCGAAACAGCAAAGAAACATTACACACTGCTCCTAACTTACTACATGCAATGATGAGTAAGTCATCATCAAAGATCTCCTCCTCAAATAGTTGTATTGCCAAGGCTAAGGCTACATTTGTCTTCTTATTCATATTCGTCCAAATAACGCTAGCATGTTTCGTGTTTTCGTAAACTAAATTAGGTTAGGTTTATAGTGACAGTAAAATGTCATTTTCATTAGTCGGTGAAAATCGAAGTCTAAATAATACTGGATCCATTCTTCACCGCACAATTGACCTAATCTGAAATGCCGCTGCCTATCCTCTTTTCGAAACAGCAAAGAAACATTACACACTGCTCCTAACTTACTACATGCAATGATGAGTAAGTCATCATCGAAATGGCTATTTGTGACGTCAAAGCCTGAAACACTCCTGACCAAACGCTACCGTGGTCGCGAAACGAAAAAACGCCTCATGTTGGCTCCTGCCAGGACATGGCAGGTATATAGTAGAAGTTTGCTTGTGTATAGCGGAAGTTTGCGCGATAGCCAATCAATGTGTCGTTTTTCCGTAAGAATGTAAAAGGAAAGCAGCATATTGATTGGTTACCACACGTCTTTACAGTTATTTCACTTTATTTTAAATTAAATCAATTAATATAGTAATCAATTAATATAATAATATAGTAAAGTAATCAATTAATATAATATAATATATAGTATTAATATAGTATTAATATAGTATTTCATATATAATAATTTATGTAAAAAGTACTTCGTAAAAGGCCCAAGTTTTTCGATTATTTCCAGATTTCTTGTTATAATCTTTTATATTTTTGTAAGTACGTTTTAAAGAAGCAAGCTTATTGCTGCATTGAATTGCTGTTTTTCTTAAAGTAGGATTGATTGTATTTATTTCCTTGACAATCATTTCCCAAAATTGCCCCTGTCTACCATGTCCTTCTTTTAAGTCATTTTCTTTTTGTTGAAATAAATGGAGAAGAAGACGAGTATCACTCACAGACCAAAATGACACAGTTTTTTCTAAACGTAAACAAATTTTTATCAGTTCATTTTATTTAAAAATGTGATAAATATTTTATCAAATATATAAATATATTTAAGATATATAACATACCTTCATTGCTTGGTAAATCTTCGTTCTCTTTGTTTAAGTCATCGTCAATATCACTTTCTACACTAATATCCATTTTAATACAGTTTTTTTTATTCAATGAAAAAATATTGAATATTTTATAGTTTAGGAATTTGCCTCTACCTCGGATTTGAAGCAGTTTATGTACGCAGTTTTGTTAAAGCCAAGTTCGCAACGTAGCGACGTTTTATAGACAGCATAGCCACTGCGTGCATATTGCGCTATAGAGAAACGATATTTTGAGCGTATATGTGCGCATATGCGCAGATATGCGTTTTGCGGAACGCAGCCATAATAAATAGTTTACTTTGTCTACACGTAGACGTAAACTATTGTTACGCATAGACGCACAACCCTGCTTTTAACTTTCCTTTATTCTCACTGAGAGAAATATCTCTCTGTATGTGCCGGGCCTTCTAATCTTTTCCTATTACAATTTATACATTTGGAAAGTAGGGAGGTACACTCCGCCTCACAATGTCCTACTGCAGTACATTTGACACAAATTCTCGAAGATTTATTGCTGCGACACTGTTTTTCTACATGTCCAAATCTCTGACATAAGTGACATCTAATAACCTTTTGAATGTATGGCTTCAAATTGATAATTTTCCCGTATAGGGAGGCTCTATCAGGGTAAGTAGATCCTTCAAAGGTAATTATGTAAGCAGATTTTTTCCTTCTGCGTGGAGCATCGGCATTAATACGATCAGGGGTGTTATCAGGCTTGGAGATACTTTTTACAGCCACCACTTTCGGCCATGGGTCAAACCAGCCGGGTGGAGGAGAGAGGTTCTCCTGGATTTCCTCATTAGAGTCAATATTATTAATATCCCAGGAGATGCAAATACGTTGTATTTTGTAGTTGGGGATATATGTTATCCAGTCTGAGTGTGAGAATAGAAGATCTCTCATTTCCATGAACCTCCCTACTATAGAATTAGCAGCATCTCTGTTATTAAATTTAACAGAGAATTTACTACGACCGACATTCTTTAAATCATATGCTTCATTTCAAAAAACACCTATTATTTTAAGTGCCGCTTTTCCCAGCTGAAGTTCGCTGATGATGGGAGGCTCTAGACAAGCTAATAAAGATTTGGTAGAGACGAACCCTTCAATACGTACCTCATACGGTCCAAGATGCGATGGAGGGTATTTATTTTTGCTTAATTTTAGTAGATGTGGAGGCACGTCTCTGTAAAGCTGTTTGTTCACTTCATCCTTGAAGGACTTAGATTTAGGTTGCATAGGGTCCTTTGCTTCGTCGTCGCACAGGGCGTTGAACTTTCGTTTAGTAGACACTCTAGCTGCAGTTTTAATGATAGTTGGAGAAGATGTAGTCAGAGTCTCTCGCAATTGCGAGTCGTTTTCCGTAGTCGACTTAGGTGACGTCATCTTATTGCGTACCAATTAATGGCAGACAAAGAGCCAGGCAAGACTGATGTTGTCTTGTTGTGGAAGTGAAAAATTATCACTATTTTCCACGGAATCTTATAAGATTCACGATTTTGAAATCAGTTGAAATCTTCCGGTTAAGGAATTCGTTATTATAACAACGATTTTTAATGATTTTTAAGAAGGCTACACTAATGCGACTAAGTACTATTGTTGCCAACGTAAAACTCTCCTTATAATTTGACAGGAATGTTTATATATTAAGGGTTTGTTCTTTATTGTCTCTTTGCTATATCTATCACATTCTTATGTGAAGATGTTCCTGAGGGTTAACGTATCGCGCGTGATTGGCACTTACAAGGGAGGTTAGGCAACCCGAAAATTCAGAAAATTCTGAAAAAATTTGTGCAAGTAGAGTAGTTCATCCGTAACACAAAACTATTTTTTTTCGTGCCATATTTTGGTTTGAAAGGGTGATATCACCCCTTGAAAAAAATGTAGATTTGTTTTTTTCGCGTAATAAGTCCAGAACGGTGAGAGATATAAAAAAAAAGTTTAAACAAAAGTTGCATCTCATTTTTATGTCTACAAAACTACGTACAGACAATTATCGAGAAATCCATTTTTTTCGAGTTACCCCTACCACCAACCCTTAACCCTCCGAGAACACACCTATTTTTTCAAGCATAGAGTACACTCTGGGTCAATCTGACCCTACGCTAACTTTGAGGGTCCGCCATTTTAAAACGACGTGTGCGATTAGCTTAAAAAAATTTCTAGATATACCTGAGATATAGAAAAATCACGTAAAATAAATTAAAAATGTCGTTATAATTATTAACATATCTAAAAAAATTCTCAAAAAAAATTTTTTTTTGTAAAAATTGTAATTTACAAGAAACAATCGTGATTTTTTTTATGAGAATAATTTTAGCAAAAAATTTATCTGTTTATTCTTGAAATATTGTAGAATCAAGAAAATAATATTATTTTAGTGTACTTTCAAAAAAAGGAAAATTATTTTGCCAGATGACGCAGGTGGTTTTAAGGGTAAAACAATTAAAATTTTTTAGCAACCGTTATAGAAAAATTTATTTTTTATCATATTTGTCATTAATTATTGACATTTACATTATTATAATGATGAATAATACATAAATAATTTATTTATTCACTTCCACTACAATCGTTACATAAATAAAGACGATGTTTGTCGCACATAGGACACAAGCAAGACGGACATTGCATTTTTGTCTTTTTATCTTTAGAATAAGGACAGAGTGCACATCTTGCTCTTTTTTCTAATTCAGGTCGATCACTTTGTGTGTCAGTCGAATTATCATTGAGAATTAATTTGATGCCCTTGCGTATTTCAGAACGCAGGGTGACATTTTTCAGTTTTTCTTGCAAGTATGGAGTGAGTAAATGCAAAACAAGTCCTTTTATAGCAGCAGTGGCAGATAGATGTTTCTCATCTCCATATTTGCAAGTGCATAAAATCCGTGCATTGACTTGTGCTTGATCAAGGATGCCAAGAAAGAAGCGCATTGGCCAACGCGCTTTGTGGCACGAGCAGTAGTGTATGCATGGCACAGCTTATCAAACACATCAGTTCCACCTTTTGTTTTATTATAGTATAAAACCATTTCGGGCTTATTATTTTCTCCAACATTTGTATTTATAATTTTAGTACTAACCAAAAGGACAATTTTGTGTTTCTTGGGTGTGTAGTTTACCAACGTGACATCTGACGTATGACAGAATTTTGAAGCTGGAACTGTTTTTGATGCAATTTTCATTTCGTTCGGTATTTGTGGCTTATTTTTGCGAATAGTTCCAGTAACTAACATATTATAAGGTTCCATCTTTACTTCTTTCAATAATGGTACAGTTGTGAACCAATTATCACAAGTTACTGATCGGTTTAACCCTCAATTGACCAGCCGGGTACCCGGGTACCCATTTCGTGCTTTTTGTTTCAATTTCGGTGTTCCACTTAAAATAATGTCAAACGGCTTCGGATCCTCGTTATTTGAACAATTTTACATAAACTTAACCATTTATTTATAAACATGTCAGGAAAAAATTTTGAGATTTCGATCGTCAAAGTTGACTAGCCCGTTGTTGACCACCCGGGGTACCCGGGTACCCATATACACATTTTATATAGAAAGGACGAGAAAGGGAAATATCTTATGTATACAGGGTGTTCAAAAAGTCCCGGACCGGTGAAATATCTCGAAAACTAAGCATTTTAGAAAAAAATGTTTCAGATAAAAGTTGTAGGGTTTCAAAAGATCTATTTACTGATCTTATCAGTTTGACCTTGGATGGCGTCGCCAAGGTCAGATCGAAATCACATTAACTTTTTTAAATGGAACTGCCTACTTTTTATTACATATTCTTGTAGCTTATCTCGAGACCTTTCCAAAACACTATAAACAAATGTATTTTCGTTAAGTATCTTCCGAGTTATGAGGCTTGAAAGTTTCATCAGATCCAACCAGTGAAGGCAAGATCAGAACAAGATCCAACCAGTGAAGGC